TTTTTTTTCAAATCAGGTTTAACTCATGATATTATACATGGAGTTATTATGTCCCAGTGGCCTTTGAAATAAAGATAATTTACATAATGCTTCAAAATAATTCCTCAGTAAGTGCATCAAGTTGTTATGAAGGTGGCTGCTGAGTGGTAAGACTCACTTCTACAAGTACTCAGAGTACGCCCAAGTCCCCATTTATTAGGTACACCAGGTCAAGTCTAATTAAAAAGCACAAGAAGTTAAATTTTTAATCCGTTTCAGAAGTGCTGAAATCACTTTTCACTGATTTCATCACTTTTGTGAAAGGGTCTTTGGGTTCTGTCACGTTATACAGACAGTTATTTCTGTTAGCCTTTTTCACGGCCATAAAATAGGGAGAGGAGATCATAGAAACACCTGTCAGTAAGAAGGACTGCTACTTCATTAGTTAAACTGGGTCACCAATCAGCATTTTATTTTCCAGTGGACACCTCCCACAATTCTAAGACCAAAACTTATTTTTTTTAAACAATTATAAGTTTTTAAAACATTCTCAGGGCCAAGAAAATATTTTTTTTGTAGTGATGGCATCAAAATGTGGAATATATGAACAGAGTATATACTTAAGTATAACTTGCAGCTTGCCAAAATAAACGTTTTGGCTCAAATTCACTTCAGTTGCAGAATCATTTGAAACTGGCACAAAAGGAAACGTATCAGTGTCGGTGTTTTTTGGAAACTAGAGCTCATTTTGAAGTTGAAGCCAGCAGCTTGTTTCAAGAAGGTTGGAACAACACACAGGAAAATTTGTGTAATGTCAAAACACACCTGGTGGATCCAGGACTGCCATACATACTGGTTTGCATTTCATCTCAGCAAAATCCCTTTTCTATACTTTTGCTACTTCATTAGAGTCCGGATTTGCTTCCAGCCAGGCTGGGGAATGACGAGTTCATTTCACATTTGTTTATTCTATTTAATCAGCTGAGTGCAAATTCCAGTTCAAGGAAATCTGCTTCACCCTCTGAAGTCTTAGGCTATGTTCACACTGCAGGTCTTAATGCTCAATTCCGATTTTTTGATCAAATCCGATTTTTTTGTCT